TCGTTGAGAAAGCACCGTTTGAAGATCCTGAACCGTGCTAAAAAAAATACCCCAGTGCGACCCTACCTAGAAGTTGGAGCCCCTAGGAAAGCAGCATTAGTAGTAACGGTAAACGCCGTCCTCCTCCTTCTCCTCATCGTCGTAGTTGCCTTTGCTTTTGCTTGTTTTTGCTTTTGCTTGGTTTTGCTGTTGCTTTGCCTTCGCACACACACGCATGTTGTTGCATTCACTCACCGGGTGGGCTCTCTGATCGTACTGTTGCACATTGCTTTTACTGTGCCTTTCCTTTGCTTTGCGATTGCTTTGCTTTGCGTTGCGTTGCTAGTGCTTTGCTTTGCCGTTGCTGTTGCTGTAGCTTAGTTAAGCTAAGCTATGCTAAGCTAAGCTAAGCCGTTTGATGTTGCTTTGCTTTTGCACTTGCTATGCTATGATATGCTGCACTATGCTATGTTATGATATGCCATGCTATGCCATGCTATGCTGCGCTATGCTATGCTACGCTAGGCTGCGCTATGGTATGCTAGGCTATGGTATGCTATGCTATGCTGCGTTATGCTATGATATGCTGTGCTATGCTGCGCTATGCTATGCTATGCTATGCTATGTTATGCTGCGCTATGCTATGCTATGCTGGGCTATGCTATGATATGCTAGGCTAAGCTAAGCTAAGCTAAGCTAGGCAAAGCTAAGCTAAGCTAAGCTAAGCTACAGCTAAGCGAAGCTAAGATGAAGCTAAGCTAAGCTAAGCTAAGCTAAGATGAGATAAGCAACGCTAAACTAAGGGGACGTCACTGGGGGAACCGCGGGGCGGATGCCGGGGGAACCGCCCGGGGCGGGGCCCACTGCCCAGCCCTTTAAGCACACACGGTAAGAACCCTTCTAGGCAGAGCCTAGGTAGGGAACATTCTCGGGCTTCCAACGCTCCGAATCAACATGATTGATGCGTATTGACGATGCTGAAGCCTTTGACCATTTCTGGGACTTCAACACCGCGAATCAACGTAACTGTTACGCCCTCACAACTTTGAGTCCTTCCAACGCCATTTCTGGCACGTTGGCCATGGGGACCCGCGATAGTCTTGCAAATGCTTAAAACGAGTGTGCACGATGATAAGGCGAGAGTTATATTTTGAACACCAGCCGCCCTCAATCCGCGAAACTCTTGCAATTTATAAAAAATGCGCGCGGCGCTAAGGCGATACCATCCGTGAAGCTCTTGCACATGCTAAAAACGAGTGTGCGCGGCGCCAAGGCGAGAGCCACATTTTGAAAACGGCCCGTTCTCAACTCGCGAAACGCTTGCACATGTCTAAAGAGAATGCGTGCGGCGCTTGGGCGAGAATCGCATTTTGAGAGCGACACGCCCTCCATATGTGAAGCCGCTGCCAGCTTCTCAGCTGCAGGGTCATATCAGGTGAGGCAGTCTCAAATATTCTCGAGCGAAACGCCCAGCCCGCCCTTTCGACCAGCCTCGGGGTGCGACAGGGAGGAAATACTTATAAGGAGAAGGAGCGGAGGAGGAGGAGGAGGAAGATGAGGAGGATGGGAAAGGAGGAGGAGGAGGAGGAGCAAGAGGAGGAGGAGGAGGAGGAGGAGGAGGAGGAGGAGGAGGATGGGAAAGGAGGAGGAGGAAAGGAGGAGGCGGATGATCAGGAGGAGGAGGAGGAGGGCGAGGAGGCGGAGGAGGAAGAGGAGGAGAAGCATGCGAAGCATGAGGAGGAGCATGAGGGGCAGGAGGAGCGACAGCCGCGAAGCGCGAGCCCGAGCTCCCTGGGGCGCCCCCGCCCCTCCCGGGGGGCTCTCGACGCCTCGTCCGATCACGGTCAAGCCAGGGTTCGGGCGGCCCGTGCGCTTGCCCCTTCGGCAGCGGACACAGTCAAGCTTTGGCGCGGCACTTCTGGGCCGAATGCTCACGCTTTGCTGGACGTCGCTTCGAACTCGGGGGCCCAACCCTGTGTCACTTCAAAGTCGGGGTGGATCACCAAGGCGGCCGGTGGCTCGGTGAGGCGCCCGGCTGACCTGCAGGTGCTGACCTGCCGCCTGGGCATCGCGATCATGCAGGCGCTCGTCGGACCCTGCGCCGCTGGCCGCGGCGGCGGGTGGGCAGGCGATCATGCGGAGCTCCTCCTCCTCCTCCTCCTCTTCCTCCTCCGCTCCTCCTCTTCATCCTTCGCCTCCTCGTCATCCTCCTCCTCTTCCTCCTCTTCTTTCTCTTCCTCCTCTTCCTCCTCCTCCTCCTCCGCCGCCTCACTTCCCTCCGCTACTGAATCGGAGGAGGCTGGAGGGGGGCACGATGGAGCCTTCACCACCAATGCTGGTATGGCCTCCAGGGCAGCCTGGCGCACGATGCCGTGGCTGTCCTCGGCCGGGGGCTGCGGGGCCGGGTGGGGAGGGAGGCGGGAGAAGAACAGTAACACGAGTATAAGCGGTAGCGGGAGGAGGGCTAGGACGCAGAGGAGGAGGAGGAGGAGGAGGAGGAGGAGGAGGAGGAGGAGCAGCAGCAGCAGCAGCAGTAGCAGGAGAAGGAGCAGGAGGAGGAGGAGGACGAGGAGAAGGAGGAGGAGGAGGAGGAGGAGCAGCAGCAGCAGGAGCAGGGGGAGGAGCAGGAGGAGGAGGACGAGGAGAAGGAGGAGGAGGAGGTGGAGGAGGAGGCGGAGGAGGAAGAGTGACGCGGGCTCAGGAGGGAGAACACTGCGGCACGAGCACAACCACCATGACAGGAGGGGGGGAGGGTCACGTCCAGCAGCTGCAGGCGGTGGCGGCGGCAGCGGGTGCGGTCGGGTCGGGAGCGGTGGCGGGGGCGGCTTGCGCCGCCACGTTGGGGAGACTCTGGCCAGGGCTGGGAAGAGGAGGATACATGGGACGGTACTGAGGATACTGACCATGCGGGCACAGCAGGGTGCCCCTTGCACACAGGCGAACACAACAGCTCAATCACTTTCGTCGAGCTGTGATCACTCGTCCCGATCTTTCTGACAAGAACGCCCCTATCGGACGAGGTCATCGGGCGCGGAGAGACCGTGTAGTCAGCCGACGCTGGTGGCGTCGAGGCTGAGGAGGCGAAGCAGACGTCCACCCGCCTGTTGTCCCTCCTCTCCTGCGGCAGGGATGGCAATCCCTGCTGGCGTTGAGGCCTCGGCCGAGCCTTGCCCCCCGTCGGCTCCACTTTCTGGCGAGTCGCGGGCACCAGCCCGACGGCCAGGACCGTGGCCTTCTCCACATCGTCGTCGTTGTCGTTGTCGTCGTGGTCGTGGTCGTGGTCGTGGTCATCGTCGTCGTCGTCGTGGGGTGAAAAAGAAGGACGATGTGGCACCAATGGGGAGGAGAAGGATGTTGTACCCCAACGGCTACGTTCCCAAGTCGAGAGGACCAGGGTGAGGGTAGGAATGTTACCTTCCGTTTCCTGTTGTTGGGCTGAGGCTGCCTGCCCTTGCAAAGGTATGACCTGGCAATCATCCTGGCCCCTGGCTCTGTTCGTGCATAGCAGAGGTTGAGCCAACTTGGCGGCCCTGCAGTTCGTGCTTTCGTTGTGGTAGCCCGCGCAGACAGAGACATTGCCCACCAGGGCACTACGACTGCACAGCGATGGGGATTGTCAACAAAAGGCTTGACAGTCGGCCCTGATTAGTAGGTCGACACTGCCAAATCAAGGGTGCCCTTGGATACCCTTATGTCCTGTGCCTCGCGACCCATGTCCCCTACATCCCCCATGGCAATGTGGCCTTCGGAAGGGTCTTGTGTCCTCTCGCGTGTCCTGTCCAATCAGGGCCGACTGTAGGTTGCGTCGAGGGGGCACGGCACACGTGCCCAGAGGAAGGCGGTTGGGACCTCACGTCCCACGCACGCGAACTTCGCACTGCTGACAGTCGAAGCGCAAAACCAGGAACACCGTGACGGCCACTCGGGCGGAAAAAACCACGGCGCCACTCAGCGCCACTCAGCGCCAGTCACGCCAGGCAGCGCCACTCAAACCTAATCCTGAGAGCTACTCAGCGCCACTCAGTGCCAATCCGTGCCACTCAGCACCACTCAGCACCACTCAGCGCCACTCAACGCCACCCAACGCCACTCAGCGCCACTCGGCGCGACTCGCTGCTGTCAACACCACTCGCCGCCACCCAACGGCGTTTAACGCTACAATGCAAGCAGCAAGT